GTTTATAGATCAAGTTGGGAAGTACTGGCATCTTGACAATATTGAGTCTTCCTATCTGTGGATGCCAAATGTCTATTTAGCTCCTCTTTGATTTCCTTCATCAATTTTGTAGTTTTTCTGCTGTAGATCTTGTACGTATTTTGTTAGGTTTCTACCTAAATACTTCATTTGGGGGAGGGGTGCTAATATAAATGACATTGTGTTTTTAATTTCAAGTGCCATATGTTCATTGATGGTACATGGGAAAGTGATTGGCTTTTGTATATTAACACTGTATCCTACAACCTTGCTATAATTGTCTATTCTGGCAGTTTTTTTGCAAAGGGGAGGTCAGTTCTTTCAGATTTTCTTCATAGACAATCATATCATCTGCAAGCAAAAAATAGTTTTATTTTTCCCTTCCCATACAGTGTACATTTTATTTCCTTTTCTTGTCTTATTGCTTTAGCAAGGACTTTCGGTACAATGTTCAAAAGGAATAGTGAGAAGGAACACCCTTGCCTTCTTCCTGATCATAGCAGCAAAGCTTCTAGTTTCTCACCATTAAATATGATATTTGCAGTCAATTTTTTTGTAGATGTTCCTTATGAAATTGAGGAAGTTCCCCTCTGTTCCTAGTTTGCTGGGAGTTTTTATCATGAATGGGCATTGGATTTTGTCATATGCTTTTTCTATGGCTATTGATATGATCATGTGATTTTTCTTCTTTAGTCTGTTGATGTGATGGATTATATTGATTGAATTTTGAATGTTGAACCAGTCTTGCAAAAAATGGAATAAATCCAACTTGGTCATTGTGTATAATCAATTTATGTACTGTTGATTTGCTAATATTTTGTTGAGAATTTTTGCATCTATGGTCATGAGAAATATTGGTCTGTAGTTTTCTTTTCTTTGAATGCCTTTGTCTGGTTTTGTGTTAAGGAAAAACTGGCCTCACAGAATGAGTTAGGAAGTTTGCCCTATGACCTCACTTCTTTGATGGACCTAGGAAGAGTTGTTGATTTTCAGTTTCTTCAGCCTTTAACTTGTTAGGATGGAGTATCAACTTCCCAGCTCCTCACGTGCCCGACAGGAAGCAGTAACTCTTGTGACCCTTCCTAACTTCCATTCCTCAACTCCCTTTGGAGTAGGAACAGTCCGTCACTGTTATCGTATGTCTGTCCTACCACTGTGTTTTGAAATCAGAAAATTTGTTTTCTGGTTTCACAGGTCAGAGATGGAGAGGAATTTTGCCCCAGGATGGATCATACCAAGAGTCTCTCCAATACTGGGATTTAGATGATTCAAGTCATGAGATTGGAGCTGATGAGATTTAGATGAGATTTTGGATTTAGAGCTGTTATGGGATGGGTTGAGACTTGTGGAGATGTTGGGATGGGATGAGTGTATTTTGTACGTGGCGTGGATGTGAGTTGGGGACAGAGGGCAGACTGTAACAGGCTGAACTGTTGCTCCCCAAAAGATATGTACAAACTCGTAACTCCAGGAACCTGTAAATGTGACCTACTTAGAAAAAGTGCCTCTACATATGCAGTTAGATTAAGAACCTTGAGACGAGCAGATCATGTAGAATTATCTGGTGGATGCTAAATTCACTGACAAGTGTCCTTATAAGAAAGAGGCAGATGGAATTTTGAGACAGACATACAAGAGGAAGAGGTGATACACAAATGCAGTGGAAATGAAGAGATGTGGCTTCAGGCCACCAGAAGGTGGAGAGGCAGTACAGATTTTCTCCTAGAGCCTCTGAAAGGAACAGGGCCCTGCTGACACCTTGACTTCAAGATTCTGGCCTCCAGACTTGTGAGAGCATAAATTCTGTTGCTTCAAGCCACCCAGTTTGTGGTATTTTGTCACAGCAGCCCCAGGAAAATCACATCCCCGTTTGCTCTTTTGTACAGTTTGCAGCCAGGCCAGCTGACTCCCTGCTGTGAGGTCTAGCTGAGAGTGAAGGGCTGGGTGACGGGGAGACCCCACCCACACTGAGGACTGCGGACTGTGAGAGCTGAGCAACAGGGAGACCCCACCCATCCATGTGGATGTCCTCGTGCTGGGCAGTGTGACAAGGGAGAGCTGAGCAAGCAGGCATGGGTGGTGCTGTGAGCAGCTTCAGGCTAGTGTGTGACGCCAGGAGGGCAGAGCGATTACTTCACAGGACCCAGAGGTCAGAGTCAGCTCAAAAAAGGTGTCTTTCCTCATGACCTGCATGCTCCAACCAGGGCACAAAGCAAGTGAGGCTTCAGGTTCAGATAACTCCTGATTCTGGGTTAAGCTGGAGGGGTCAGGACACAGAGTTCCCCCGGGCCTTCCCCCCTCACCCCCCGACCCCACTCCCATGCCCAGCTATTGCTCCAGTCCCCTCTGTGACCCTCCTGTGTCAGGCAAGGCAACGTCCTGCATGGACAAGCCAGTTGTAAGCATGGTCGTCTGTGAGCTTAGCAGGCAGCTGCTGCTTCCAAAAGGAAACCCGTTTTCTACGAGATAGGGCATCAATGGGCGGGTCTGGATCTGCGGCTGGTATCTGCACCCTGAGGAGCCCCGGCTCACCCAGACTGTGCCCCACAACCTGAGACAGTCTCCCTTCTCCCCACACTGTCCTTTCTGTGCGCTCCCTCCTCTTTCCTGTGGGCTCACTCGCGTCGGGCAGTCAGGATCTCAGCAGCCCTTAGAGGCCTGAGTGCTGACCCTACGTGGGTGTTAAGTGTTTGTCTCCTCGCCTGTAAGAAGGGTAAACAGAGCTCCCCTCTGGGGAGCTTCTGTGAGCACTCAGAGCAAGGCCAGCACACAGGAGCAGACTTGTGTTTGATTCAAGATGACTCACTTACTGGGCACTTGGGAACGGGCCCCCAGGCTTGCCCTCTGACCCACCCCCATCATCTCCATTCCTAATCTTCATTCCCAAGAGGCGCATCTCAACACTACCGTCACATTAGGAAACAAACCATCCTGTAGAGCATCACTTCCACTGGAAAATGCAGCCCAAGGTTCAAACAGCTGCATCTAAGGGATATTCCAAGTCTGCACATTCTCTGCTTGTCCTCACCTTCCACGGCGTGGGAGCCGGATGGCTGCACCCGGCCCCTTGCTCCCTTCCAGGGCATCTGCCCCAAAAGCCTCTAAAAAAGGGCCGGCCTCATTAGCCTCTCAGCACCAGATCCACGGGCTAGGCATGGGAATGGGGTAGCCACTACTGGTGGGCAGGGGCGCCCCAAACCGTGGAGGAGGAGACCCCGTGGGCAGCAGCCTCAGGTTGTCTGTGCATCTTCAAGACGCCTGTGGGGCCTTGGCCCTCCACATACGGCTGGGTCTCTGCACCCTGCCCTTTACCCATTCTAGGGAACACGCCCCTTTCCCTAATACTCCAGCCTTCAGGAGGGACAGATGGGGGAAGTGAGTTGCCCATTATCTTAGCTCACACTTCTTTCCTCTGGGCGAGAGAAAGGGGCAAAGTTTGTGACAGGAGACAAGAGTGAAATGCAGGGGACCCTAGGAAAAAGTGCTGCTTCAGACCCGGTGGGAGAACGTGCTGGAAAGTCAGTGCGCGCCAGCGCAGCCCAGGAGAGCAGCCACTCGTGATGGGATGATGCGGGACATGGTAGTCCTCGTGAGCGGGAGCCCGGCCCGCAGAGCACAGCCTGGACCCGGGTCCTGCTCATGGCTCCCTGCCCCTGCAGCCGGGGTCTCCTCCCCTGGGCACTGCACGTGGCCCCTGGATGGCTCTCCTGGGTTGGTGAGCAGCTCCCGTTGTCTTTGAATCGATACCCTCCCCACTCTGCCCCTGCGGGCCTGCTTCCCTCTGAGGAAGCTGAGGGATGAGACAGAGCAGCCCTTCTGGGAAGCGGGACCACCCCTGCCTTCAGACTGGCTGGAGGACCAGCCCTGTGGCTTTTCACTTTCAAAATGAATCAGGGAAAATTACCTCCTGGGCAAACCCACTGCTGTTCCAAGTTTCCAGATGGGTGCCAAAAGCCGGAGATATTATGTGGATATGGAAATCAGTTGCAAATGTGAAAACTGACTGCAATTTGCATGTCTTTCAAGTTTGATTCAAACCCATAGCTAATAATTAAACTGGCAGCAGTGAGAGGAGAGGGAGCTCCTCACAGGTGAGGCCAGTGGGGCATCAGAGGTGCATCCGTGAAGTGTGGTCTCACGCCAGGGTTGGTGCCCCAACCAACACAGCTGCCTCCAAGAGGGCATTGCATCAAGTTGCAAACCAAACCAGAGCCCCCACCCCAAGTGACTGCATACACTGCGGCTTTCTGTGGTATTTGAAAATGTCCGAAGGACTGATTTTTATTTTTCCCTCTCTCCTAAAACGTGTGTGTGTGCTGATTTTGGGGGCCTTCAGAGAAGATGACTTGTGGAAACCAGCACCAGCCATTTCCCATCTCACTCCCCTCTCTCCACTGTCCCCTTTTTCTGCCTTTAAAAGGAACAGGATTGACTTTGTCTCATCGATGCGGGATGTGGGCTTCAAGGCTCTGGAGAGCTGAGCACAGTCAGGAAACGAGCTGGCGGGTGTCCAGTATTTTTGCTGTAAACATCTTTGCCGTAAGCAGTTCTACCGCACAACTGATTGGCTGTAGGGCAATTTTGCCGTAAGAGATAAAATAACTGTAATTCACAGTAGTCTTTGGGAGCACTAATTATCGATTCTTTAGCTAACTGAGATACAATTTGTTCTCTAATGCTTTCTTTACCAAATTTATCATGAGGTATTAGAAGCTGAAGGGAAAAGAAGATCAAGGGCCTCCCACCCCCCAAAAAGAAATGCTTCTGTGATTCCTGATGAGGGTAAGCTTCTTGAAAATGGTGAAAACTTCTTGCTATTTGATAATGGAGTACATGATGTAGACAGAATTTTGGTATGTGGCACAGAATCTGGTTTAGATTATTTGGCAAAATATAAGGACTGAACACGTGATGGGACATTTAAATGAAGTCCAGACATGTATTACCATTAATACACAATAAATGTATTGATAAGATATAGCATCCTTCATCTGCTCATTTTATTTCCAGAGAAATCTGAAGAGACAAGTTTTTTTTATATCATAAAGAACTTACATCTGACATTAGATCCTGAATCCTTAATGATCAACTTTGAGACAGAGTCACTTTCTCTAAGACATACCCAAATACAACCATAACCATGAATCTACACACATTCAAATGTATTCAAACATTTTTCTTTTTTCTTTTGGGTTTTTTTTCGGCGGTGGGGGTAGGTAATTAGGTTTATTTATTTACCTACTAATGGAGGTGCTGGGGGTTGAACCCAGGACCTCGTGCATGCTCAACAGTCACTGTACCACTGAGCTATCCCCCCCTCCATCAAACATTTTTCATGTCTCCATTTTTTCACAATAGACTCTTTTAAAGATTTTGTCATTAATTTCTCATGTTTCATTATGTTCTTTTTGTCTTTTCCATTATGTCCTTTTTCACCTTTTATAGCAAGAATACCAAGAAGCCTCCCAGCCACGAGCCTAGGCTCAGCTCTGGCCACCGGCAGCAGTGCTATGTGACGGGCTTGGGCCGGGCTCGGGCTGAGGAGGGAAGGGCGCTGCCCTCAGGGCAGCCCAGGCTGCACAACTCTGACCTGAAACCTCAAAAGGAACGCACCCACCTGGGCAGGTGGCTACAGACACCTGCAGCCTGTTCCCACAACCTGCAAGCTAAGGCATGCCTGAATTTTCAAATGGCTTAAAGAAGAAAACCAAAACAAGACAAAACATTTCACAACACATGACATACACGTTCTAATCTCACAGGCGGTTTTATTGGGAGCATAGCATGTCAGTCTGCTCAGAAGCCCAGGCTGCCTTCATTTAACAGCAGGCCTGAGACATTTCAACAGACGTCATGATGGCTTGAAAAATGAAGTATTATTTTCTACCTGGCCTTTTATAGACAGTCTGCTGACCTCTGCCCTAAACAAACGGAAGATTCAGTCGTTTTTGATGAAATGTCAAAGCAGCTTCATTTCAGCTCCACGTTGGTCTCACAGCTGCATTAGACGTGGGTCTTGCATTTTTGCCCACCTTTACAGAGTGTAAAGCTGAGCTCAAAGCATTTCGTATTTTAGGAAGTGCAAACGCCTTAAGGAGTGACAACAAACTAACAGAATCCATTCCCTCCGCCACAGGTTTAAGGGCAAACAGATTTTGAAATAAAGCACATGGGTGAGCTTGACCCTGTACACGAACCAATCAATGTCAGAGGGCAAGCTCCGTAACAGGAAAGTAAAAAAACAAAACAGGAGACACAACAGGTCCTGAGCCAAACACTAGCGATGATGGTCAGACAATGGGATTGTGCGCCATTCCTGCCAGTCTCTTGAGGGTCTGCTCACCTGATGGGATCCACTGGGTTCCAGGCATCATGACACTTAGCTCCTGGGCTGCCTGAGGATGGCAGGAGATCCCCAGCCTACCTGCTCCTCTCCTTCCCCCGGTATTCCCAGTGTCCGATCCCCCTCGTGCCCCTCCCGTGTCCAGAATGTGGAGGCAGAGCCGGAGCACCAGGAGTGGAGGGAGCGGTGGGAGGTGGAGTCAGTGCACCTGGGCTGGGGACCAGTGTGCTGTGGGAGTCACTGCCTGGCTTTACAGGGTTCTTGGCAACTTTGTTTCAGCCTTAGTGACTAAAGGTCTGACAGATGGATTTTCTGCTACTTCTTGGAAGGGGTTATGCTTAAAAAAACTTAACTCTGGAGCCAAGGTTTATAGAATAGTATAAAATGGCTCTTGATGGCTTTTTTTTTTTACTCTCTTAAGTCTCCACATAGACAGACCATAGTCTCTAACAATTATTCATGGGAGGGAAAAGTCCTGGAGAATAATCCTCTAGTGGTACAATGTCTTCAGTACCACACCCCTGTATGCCCAGAGTGTTGGGGCTTTATGCGTTCCCAAGTGATGGATAAGGAGAAGGTGAGGCCCAGAGCACTCAGCGCTAACTCACAGGGAGAGGCCACCAGCCGGGTCCCACTCCCTGCTTTCTAGAGGCCTGTTAGCAGCCGAGGTGTGTGCAGCCCTGATGCCACATGAGTGCTGGATAGTATCTGTTTTCAGGACAAGGAGGTGCCAATGGGCCACTGAAGGCTGAGCTGAGAACCCCTGAGCGGGGTATGCCTGGATTTGGAACAGCATTATGAATGGAGAAGATTCACTTTTGTTTTAGTTGCCCAGGGCTCTCCAAGCTAGATGGAGAGAGAGAGAGAGAATAGGTTTGGTGGTAGCTAAGTCCCTTGGCCTGTGGATCTTGTCCTGTGTGCTCCTTAGAAACATCTGTGGAGCGTGCGTGTCCACAGAGATGCTGACTGAGGGGCCCGGGATCGGTGTGTGCACGCACATGTGTTGGTGTCTTCTGAGGCCCTGGCCCGAGCCCAGTGTGTGGCCACGGTGAGAACCAGGCACTCCGCCTAGGGGGAACTTGCTCCTCAGGGGCTGCCCCGCCCCCAGCACTGCTCCAAGTTCCGTGAGGACAAGGATCCAGCTGCTGCCGCCTCGCCTCTCTGGTCATGAGGTCTCGGTAACTGTCCTTTCTGACACATCATCACCTCTGCTGCGCCCTCGCTGCCCCTCCCTGTCGTTGAGGATAAGGAGAAGAGGCCGCCCGGGGCCAGACCGCCCCTGGAATGGGCCTGAACTCTGAGAGCTCCGACCCCTGATGGACCAGACACTGTCAAGAGCAGCTGCTCACACGCCTGCACTACAGTAAGGAACCTTGAGAGAACAGGCCCACCTCTCATTTTGGAGGCTGGTAAGTACAAACCAAATGAGACGAACAGAGACTAGGGATATAAGTTAGCAAATTAAAAAAAGAATCAAAACCCCTTATGAACGTCACTTTCTAGAAGGGCTACTTTCCATGTCTTCTTGGAATAGGTCGGCTTCCCAAGGGTGCACATCCCTAGGTGACCCCAAATTCATGCCCACTGAGAACCTTAGCACGTGCCCTTATCTGGAAATAGGGTCTTTGTAGATGTCATCAAGGTAAGTATCTTGCAAAGAGATCACCCTGGATTAGGTGAGCCCTGAATCCAATGATAAGTGTCCTTACAGGAGAAAGGAGAGGGAGACTTGAGACACAGAGACACAGGAAGACGGCCAGATGAAACGGAGGCAGAAATTAGGGTGATGTAGCCACAAGCCCAGGGACACCAGAGGCACCAGCAGCTGGCAGTGGCAGGAAAGAGCCTCCCCTAGAGCCTCCAGAAGGACACAGCGTGCTCACACCTTGACCCTGGCCTCCAGACTTGGGAGAGAGTGCATCTGCATTGCAGTAAGCCCTGTTTGCGGTACTGCGTTAGGGCAGCTCCAGAAAGCTAACACTGCACCTGTGAACTCATTCTTAAAAACATCCAGGGCTTAGGACGCAAGTGGAGCAGTGCCGCGGGGCGGGGCACGGCCTCGAGGCTCCTTCCTGGCAGGGCTGTAGGAGAGGTAATTTAAAGTACCATCTCTGGGAGGTCTCAGTGAGCCTCTCGGTGCGTAGATCTTTGAGGGGCTAGCGGAGCAGTCTGGGGTGGCCTGTGGTGAGAAGGAAAGGGGATCGCCCATTTCTCTACTTTCCCCTTTGTCTTCCCATGAGGGGCTCTCCCGGGGACACACTAAGACACCCCAAACCAAGCGGAAAGCAGCATCAATGCGTATCTTCAAAAAATATCTTAAAATTAGCACTTGTCTTTTGTTTCTGAATAGAAATGGGGCAGAAGAGCAAAAATTAATTACTTTTTAAAATAGGTAGTTTGTACTATTTTCATGTTTGACTAAAAACTGGGCAGTGAAAGAGTATTTATAGGATGACCTTGAGGTGACTAGACTCTCAGCTTAGGTTGGAAGATCACAATACAACCAGACACTGACCTGTCTACCAGAGGGAAATGGAATGAAAGGAAAGGCTGTGGGGTCTAGGCCGAGCGGCCCACGTAGGAGGGGCGGCTCAGGCCTGAATGTGGCCCCGGAGGAGAGATTCTGTTCACACGGGGTACACCTGCAGTGTTCAGATGGGCAGAGAGTTAGAAATAAGTAGACCGCTTTCATAGAGACAACTCATCCTTTTCTGCTTATCAAGAATGGAGAAAGGATGAAAGAGCGGTTAGCTGTGCTGCTGGAGGCCTGGGGTTGTGACCATGCAGTGGCCCCTGAGTACTGCGTGCAGCCTACCCTCAGGGGAAGAGCCACCGTGCTGCGGCGGCCGCCTCAGTAGGGCTGAGCCCCAGATCCGAATGCGTGTGTGCTCCTGGCTGCCCGCGCAGCCCGAGAGCACCTCGTGGGAAGGCTGCTCACTGCGTTTGCAGGAAGAACTCCCCTCCTGCAGCTGTACCTTCTGATCCCTTGGTGCAGCCATGATTACCCCAAGCTAAGCTGCCCACCGCCCTCACAGCCACCTTCCATCCTGAGGCAGCCGTGCACCTCCTGGGACAGGGCCCTTGGAATGACTTCCTGGGGTCTTCATTTCAAGGAAGCATGCAGGGGTTGAGAACAACATATTCAGAGAAGTGATTCTCATTAAAAGCAGTCACCTCTATGGTTTCTTTTCCTTCTATGTTAGTTTCTTCATTCGTCGATTGTGCTTGTCAATGGTTAAGGTTGTCCTGTCCACCGCTGCAGTGAGGTCGTCCAGGGCCTCATCCTGCCTCTCCAGCTCCGTCTCGGCATCCAAGGCAAGATCCTTCAGTTTCTTCAGGATCTGCAAGAGAGGTACAGATGACAGGAAGGGCTGCCTTTTCTTCTCACAAAAACAGAGACTATTTCTTTCCATCAGTTTTACAACACTTAAGAAATTCGGTGACAATGAGTGTGATGAAGACCCTGAGCACAGAGCCAGAGCCTGCGGCTCTGAGCCTGGGTGCGGGTCTCAGCTCGCCACTTTCTGGCACTAGCTGCTGGGAGATGACGTATCTGCCCTCTGGCCCCGGCTCCAGGTTATCGGCAAGGAGACTGACCACACGGCCCAGGAGGTGCACCCCTGGGGCATCCCTTCATCCAGCCCATGGTTCGCTGTTTCAGTTGATGCTGACAGCCTTGCTGGGGATGTTACCACATTCATGTGGAATTCCTGCAAACAGCAGCATGGCAGGCTGGCACAGGGCGGAACCAGGGACCTGGAGCCAACAACTTAGATCTGGGTTCCAGCTCTCGCCTAATCACTGTTTTCACTACTTGTCTAAACCCAAGCACCTAGGTGCAGACTAAAGCTGGAAAAACAAAACTGAAAAAGAAAAACAAAATCCTTTTTCTCTGTATGTTTGAAATACCGTACATACAAATACAAAAGGTGGAACAAAACAGCAGAAATAACACAAGGCAATGAAGCAGTTACACGACACAACCCCATGAGCCTAGCGGCAAGTGCTGGGAGACGGCCCTGGGGTTCTGCGGGGAGGAACGGGCAGCACCAGCAGGCACAGACGTGTGGAAGACACACAGAAATGCATAAACCACGGCGATGCCACAGGGGAGGGTGGCGCCCGCAGGGTGGAGGGCTCTCCAGCACAGCCAGATCAAGGAAGCTGGATGGCAGCCCCTCGCCCCCAGAGGTGGGACTCCTGTCATACTTCATACAGTTCCATGAACTGGGTGAGAGCAGCCATTTTATTACAATCCTTTTGAGACTAGCTGCATTGTGAAATGTGCTTTTAATTACACAGTTACTGAACCTGGGTTTAAAAATTCAATGTCCTTAAGCTGACAGCAAAAAGAAATGATTTTACGAGAAATCTTAGTGACCAACTACTTGCAATAAATGTTAATACCTCTTTTCTTTTAGAGAAAGTTTCAGATCATTGGTTAGATCAAGAAAAAGGCACTGAAGAATCTAAATGATTAAGATGAGCCCTTGGTGCCCTGTTTACTAACTCCCAGTGGATCAACCCGCCTACAGACCCATTCAAAGTCCTCTGTCACAAGGGATGGATATCAGTAGTGAACAGCCTGGGTGACTACCACAAAGGACCCTGAGTGCAATCTACTGATAACGGATCATGCTTCACACTGGAATCGCCCCTCTCCCTAGCAGTTCCCACCAGGTGACACAGGCAAGAAAGCTCTAGGTTCCACCAGGTGGCCTGGGACAGCCCTGAGCAGTGCTACTGCCTGGGAGAGGAGCCCACTCCTCGAGGGGAGTAAAGTGCATCCCATGTGTTGTCTCAGAAGGCATGACAGTAGCCATGTGGTCAAAGGAAAGCAGCTCTGCGAACACAGTCGAAAGGAACTCCTGACCACCTGGCCCACCACCCACTGCCTGGAAGAACTGCTTCATCTGATTAACAGGAAACAGGATAAAGGCAGGGAGATGGCCCAGAGGATAGTAAGACCAACTCCTTTCCTAAGAATGAAGAGGTTCAAATGAGATCACAAATGTGAACAAGCTGTGAAAACTATAAAGCGCTATGTAAGGTGCCACCGCCAAGTCTCAGAGCCCAGCCACGCACCCCCGCTTTGCGGAGGGGGACATGGTGACGAGGCGAGCTGAGGTCATCCATCCACAATTACACGGAAGTTAGTGACAGAGACAGGATTTACCCCCACATCTCTTTCCAAACAAAGATCACTGCTGGGATCTTTGTTATGAGACAGAAGACTAAATCCTGGTCCAAGTTAGCAGTCTCAGACACCACCTTTCTGCATCCTCTGGGAACTGGTGGAAACTCCATCAGCTGAGTCACTTGAAAAACTGGACGGAGCTCTGGAAAGTATACTGTGGGGTCAGTCAGCTCTGGAGGGGATGGGCTGGATGACCTAATATAGGAGGTCTTTTCCATCTCTTATTTCTATGATCTCATACGGCTGGGGCCCAGACAGCATAATAAAAAAGTCAGCACTCACCACCATGATAGGCAGGTCCTTCCACGCTGCTCTCTCTGGTCAACTATTCCTTTCTCGTTACCTCCACGTCAGTGTGATAATAGGGCCGTTCCATCAGGAACTTGCACGGAATGTCCCCTGGAAGCCCAGCTTTGACCACACAGCTGTGTCTGATCCGACACGCTTGCTTGAGGTCTCTCTCCTGTGCTGGGTGACCGGCTGCACAAACCCCCTGCAGCTCTCTTTGCACCCTCTATGTCCCTGTCAATCATATCCAAATGTGGTCAAGTTTATTTCCAATTGAACTGTCTTTCTGGACCACAAGGTCCCCAACTGTAAACAATCATCGTTTGTACGTGTGCTGATGGCAGGAGACAAGTTTTCAGCAAGAGCCATGTGTTCCCTTTAGGCAGATTGTCAGCTGTCTTGTTCTGTTCCAGTAATAACTGTGCACATAGAAAACTCAGAAACAGAACTTAGAGGAGAAAATAAAAGTCCTCCCACATCCAATTCCGAACTAATGCCTGTCAGACAAGCAGTGCTGATAACGTGGCGCAGCCTTTCTCATCCCAACGTCCACACGCTCTCAGAGGAGAGCAAAACTGGGGATTAAAGCATATGTATACATGGTTCTGTTTCCTGGGTTCCCATCCCCCAGTTATCCTTATAGAAGGGTAGGAGTTATGGGACCCTGAGATGTGCCCTAACTATTCTGTTAATCTTCAATCTAACTCTTTCATAAACAAGGCCAAGAGAGGTGGGCAACTTGCCCGAGCTCCCGGGGTCCAGCTCCTGGTGCGGCCCTGACATGACCACTGCATGGACGGCAGATGTCATGGCGAGGACGCAGAGGTCACATCTCTGAGACACTGACAGAAACTGCACAAGACCCTTAAAAATCGGCTAAAGGGCTCTCACTAGGGATGGGCAGTCTATTCACACACCCAAGGGAGGCCACACCCCAGAACCTGGGCCAGCTCTTAGCGCCCCGGGCAGCTATGGCAAGGTGTGCTGTGTAAGGAGGGCCACCCCTGTAATTTCAAATTTTCTAATACTCACATTTTAAAAAGTGAAAAGTGTGATTAATTTTAATAACATAGTTCATTTAAACCAATAAACCCCAAGTGCTATTATTTTAACATAAAGTCAATATAAACAATTATTATTATTATTATTATTATTACTATTATCATTATTATTATTATTTATGACTAGTATGAATGTTACACTTAAGGGACATCTTGACTCGGACCAGCTGCTTTTTAAGTGCCCGGAAGCCACGTGTGTGGACAGCACAGGGCCACATGGCCACACGACAGCACTTCCATCAGGGGCCCTCTGTGTGACTGACCCTGTGCGTCCTAGCGTCCATCAGCGATCTTTCCCTAGAGCAGGAGTCAGCTGCCTCTTTCCCAGCCCAAAGCGGAACAGTGGCCAGAGCGAGACGACCTGCACCCCTGAGTCTGTGCACAGCA